GGACTAAAAAGTTAGGGGACATCTTCCCTTTATTTACACCACGATGCATCACGCATACACATGCACTATGCATTATGTGCATCACTATGCATAATCTTAGTCATTATTACAAGCTGTAAGCTGTGTTTAAGCTGTAAGTGGTTGTTCAAAAGAACTTATCAATTTAAAATGCAGTACTCTGAATTTGAAATTAATTTCTTGAGCCTGCAACATTTTAGGAGAGATCTTTGACAGGTTTTGCACTAATATAAGAAAAAGAGAAAAGAAAAAATATGAGCTATTTTACCTAAAAAAGTATTCCAGTTCTCATGGATTAACAAAATGATTTTACTTGATGAAAAATATTTATAACTCATACCTGAGACAAATCTATGAAGGCCAGTTTGGATAAATTGGTTGCTTTGAAGAGCAACTCATGCTCAGAGATATCCGTTGCTTTGAAGAGCAACTCATGCTCAAAGATATCCAGTGGCTCTGCCGCCATTTTGATATGTTTTTAAATCTGTAAAAAGGAGAAAACTACATTAGGAAGAGGGCAACAAAATTCTTTGGGCTTCTTTTTTTCATGTACCTGCAATATGATGAGCAGGTTTTTAATTTGTTGCAAAGGCCGAAAATAATACCACTCACTAAGAGACCAATCGATTTTTTGCTGACTACTTTTACTTGAGTAAACAGTCTATAGCAGATCATTTAGCCAGTCGTACAGAGCGGAGAGTGATACAGTAAGATTACTGCTGAAGTTGCTACCTCAGACAGGAGTTTAACTCCTCTCAAATAAAGTTTAACAAAGATACAAAGAATATGGCAAAATACTTTAGTTCTTTTTGAATTAATTTAAGGTCTCTACATACCCATTCTGATCAATTAAAAACGGAGAGTACACTGTGAACCGAAAATAAATATTCTTGAGTGTTGCACAAGTCAATACCAGAGAAGGTTGACGGCGGAGAGTAGATAAAATTGGTCAAATAACTTTATGCCTTCAAGAGAAAGGACAAACTTGTGTAAAACTATCAGAAGTAATACTGCTAACTTGAGGTAGAGGTGTCGTCAGCTAAGTTGGCACTTGAATACATAGCATTCGCAAGCAACTACAATGTAGTAGTCCAACAGAAATCAAGGATTGACTAAGCTCACGATCAGGCTGCCGTCAATCCCCTATAGCTGTTGGACAATTGCATCTCAATAGACGCTATTAGTGGCACGTCACAAAAAAGCGTTATACATATCGCTTTATTCGCATTATAGTAGCATTGAAAGAGGTTACGCCAATGTTATTGTATGGATCCAATTCGATACAATGGAGAATCCCTATGATGACTTCACTACTAATATCATCTATTGCATGCAAGTGGAATGTAAACAAGTGCCAACTTAGCTGACGACACCTCTTGAGAGCAGAGTAAACAGGTAATTGTGAAAAATTTAGGGTTGAAACAATGGAAATATAACATAGAACATAAAAGTGGAAGGATGGGGCAGTCTTGCTGGTCTCAGAATCGTGTAAAGATACTTTATTCTTGCAGATCAACTAAAAATTTTAAGATCTGGCCAAACAGCAAATTTCTATGTTGAATATTAACCGAGGTATCTCGCCTTTAAAAACTTGACTTATAAAGTCATCCACCATGGTAGGAAATATCATGTTATGCACTTCCGCAGAGGATGACGCCATAAGTCAAGTTTGTCAAGGCGAGATATCTCGGTTAATAATCAAGGTACCCAGAGAGTTGCTGTTGGGACAGATCTGTTTACTTAATGCTGATCTACTAGAACCACGCAT